TTAACTACAAAAAAAAAAAAAAAAAAAAAGAAAAAAGAAAAGGAATGGATTAAAATGAGATTTAGAAAAAGAAAAGTAAAATGAAATAAAATGTAACAAAATAAAGAAACAAAATAAAGAAAATATTATTTAGATTAGATCAATAATGATATAATTTCGAAATATCGTCTAACAATCATAATATATAATGTAAAATGTGAATTTAAAATAATTTCATAAAAATTTTACGGAAAATTTATCTAACCTAACTAATCAATTAGTTTCATTTCAATTAAATTAATTAATGATCTTTTTATTAGTCGGAAATAATATAATTTCAAAAATACGACCTAATTTATTGCACATAATTTCAGGGATATACCGAATAGAAAGTTTAAACATGTTTAAAATTGATACCATTTAATGAAATACTTATGGGAAATATTTATAACATGTTGAAAAGCAAAATGACCAAGCAACACACCTCACCAAACAACTGCACCGTATTAATTTGATGAAATAATGATAGTGACATTCATTTTAAACATTTCAAAATTTGATGTTTTATATGCAAATCTCGATCATTTTACTTTTACAAATATTTCATGCAAATTAATTTCAATTGAGATAATCAATAAATTTATATCCATCGATTGATCGTTAGTAATTACCGCATTGTTGGAATTGATTTGAGTGCAAATACTATCAAATGCTATCAGAACTTTTAGTAATTAAATTGACTATCTTAATTATATGCTTAAATGATTACGCCAATTTTTTTATCTTTTCGAAGTTCACTTCACGTCATTTTCAAACCTATTTATTATTAATATCTCTTTTTTTTAATTAATTAAAATAAATGCCTTTGTGGACAGCAACAACATAATCATATGATGCACTTTTTTTTTTGCTTTTTTTTAAAATTATAAAGTGTTTACTTAAGGATCGATAAACTAAAATTATCTAAATTCTATTAAATCCTTTTTTTTTGCATTTCAATGTTTCATACTTTTGAAATGAAATAATTAGCTAAAATTGCAAATAATACAAAAATTTTGAGAAAGAAATTCGATTATTAACCAAAAAAAAAAAATGAATTAACACCTTAAATTATTCCATTATCAAACAATTTAATTTAATCTTAATGAAAACATTAATTAAGTAATATATTGTATTTTACTTAAATACTTCAACAAGAATTTTTTTCAAAAAAAAAGAAAAAAAGAACAAAAACTTTACTTTTGTTTCCAAAAGATCGATTGATCAGAAGCTTGGAAAAGGATGGAATGAAAAAAAAAAAAGAAAAACTGCAATGGTCAATTATCCTTTTTGTTGACTGAAAGATTTGGAAGAGAAGAAAAGGGAAAATTGAAATGATCAAATATGGCAAAAATGTTTTATCCTTCTTATTCAGATGATATTTTAAAAAAAATACAGACTTGAATTTATTTCAAATTTTTTTAAAAAGATGTTTTGATTGATTGCTAGAAATGCAAGCATACTTAATGTGACAAATAAATGTTTTTATAAAAAAAAAATAAAAACAAAAAATAAACAAAAAAAAACCAAATAAATAAAAGTTTTTCCTAGTGTTTGAGGAAGATAAAGAGAAAGGCAAAAAATGGCAAAGAATGGATCAGCAAAATTTTCAAAATAATTTCAATAAATATCAATTGATATTAAAACTTTTAATAATTAATTGGTTATCCTATGTATATGCTTCATCTATGATTTAAATCATTTGAAATTTTTGTTCCTTCTTTTTTTTTCTTGTTTAAAAAATCGTTCAAATGTTTAGCAAAAAAAGAAAATATCATAAAATAACTGAAAAAAAAAAACCAACAAATAATTCGTTCGTTTCTGTTAGATAATTTAAATTAATACAAAAAGTATAGAACTAAAATATTTAAAGTTATAATAACTATGATAGCAATTAAGATAACTTAATCAATTATTGCAAATTTCTTTTTGTAAACTAAGATATCTCAATTAATTGTTAAAAATTTCGTAATGAAACATTTTACAATAGTAGTTGCAAATATTTGTGGAAGTTAACAATTGTTGACGACAATTGCTGTCGCATAATGGTGTCGTACAAGGTTACTCGGATAAGACCTTCCATCTAATTCAAACAATCATCGGTGTAATCTATTAAGTAAATTATGAAACTATTTAGCAATTAACATACTGATTGATCAAAATCAAATAATACTTTTAAACCATATTTGTATGTTTGAAATATTTATTTATACAAAAAATTGTGCACTTTAACAAAATTATAATAAAACGAAATTGTTAGCTTTTTCATTGTTTACTTCAAGTTATGTTGACATTATAAAATTTTTCAACAACTTAATATTTACATTTGTTTACATTTTCTTTTTAAATCAAGAAAAAGTATTCCTTGATTAAATTATAATTAAGTTATCAAAATTTAAAAAATCTAATTTAATATTATTTTTCGGAAAATTAATTAAAATTTTTCGAACAAAAATTTTCAAATTTATTGAAATTTCTTGAACAAAAAGAAGAAATGGTACAAAAAAAAAGCAAAAAAAAAAGAAAAAAAGAAAGGAAAAAAATTGTAATAAATGGAAATAAGCTAAAAGAACGATCAAAGGTTGTAAAAATTTATGAAAGATTGGGATAAATTGAGGCAAGAAAATGATTTCGAAACAGTAAAGCACGAAAAGATCGAATGATACGACAACGATAGGATAATGATGGATCAGTATTGATGATATATGTATGTGTAATGTGAAGATTGAGTTGTGGTGTAGTTGAAGCTTTTTAGTTTTAGCACTTTTACTTAAGCTTTTCTTCCTCATTCATTCCATCTTGAACTAAATGATGATGATAATGGTATTATTGGTGATATTGAGGCGATGTTATTGATAATGATGATGATGACGATGATAATAATGATGATAATGATGGTAATGGTGATGATGATGATGGATGATAATGATGATGATGGTAATGGTGATGATGATGATGATGATAATGATGGTGATGATGATAATGATGGTGATGGTGTTTAGCGATGATGACGATGATAATGGTAATGATGGTGGATGATAATGGTGATGATGATACTAAAGTAGCTGACACTCTAGTTAGCAATATCAAGAGATAATCAATGCATATCAATCCTTTTAGTCTCCACCCATATTGCTTTCCCATTCTCTTCTCTTATATTTTGCAAATTTGATGAATATATATATATATATATATATATATTTATTTATTTATTTATTTATTTATTTATTTGTTCATTTATTTATTTTATATATTTATTTATTTATTCAGCAATGATATGATTACAGAGAGAAGAGATAGCATTAACAAAAGGATAATATAATCTTTTACAGCTTAACTATTACAACAATTTTTTGCAAGAAAATAATAATACCACGGGAATATCAAACTATCCATCTATTTTATTCAATCAATTCAGAATTGTTTTTTTTTTTTTTTTTTTTATTTCCTTTTGCTTACTTTCCCACTATATATATATTTTGCAATCATATATAAATAAAACATTTTGATGGGCAAATTAAATAAAATTTAAAATCTAAAGTTTCGAATTTCAAAAATAGACGATAATTTCAATAGTGAATGATTATTTTAGTGTAAATGCTGTTACAACAAATTTTTGCAAAAAAAAATTTTTTAAAAGCAAAAGAATTAAATTCGTAACAACTAAACAAAACAAATGTGCAAATATGAGAAATACCAGAACAAAATTGTTCAATAGGTGTTATTCCGGAAAAAGTAATTAATTATTTTTTTCGTTTTGTTAACAAGAATTAATATTCTTTTTTTTTTCCTTTGAATAAAATTGACAGTCACTTTTTTTTCTTTTTTTTTTCATAAATATCGCATAAATTAAAATTGATAATCGTTAGCGTGATTCTTATCCATTTTTATTACTTAATAAATTAAGCAGATTTAGCAATTTATCAACTTTTTTTTTGATTGAATTTTTTTTTACAATTAGTTAATTACACATTAACCTATTCATTTGATTATTCCAATATTTATTTATTTAATTTGTTAATTAAAATGCTTATTTTTAGATATTAATCTTTCCGCTTTTTTTTCTTTTAAATTTCTTATCTTTTTTTTCTTTTTTCCTTTCCTTAAAATATATTTGTGCAATATAAGTTAGGAATTAAACAGAAAAAAAATTTGACGATGAATGTGAAAAAAGGTAAAAAAAAACGAAAAAGTATGATGAGAATGAAATACATTCAAAACACTTCAATATAGAATTAATAAAATTTAAAAAAAAAAAATTTAATTGAAATTATTCATTTATAGATTTTTTTAAAGTGTTAACAAAATTATCCATTTCAAGAAATAATTCTTGGTTTGGTACAATAAGACCATAGATCAAATAAATATAACATTTTTTGTCCGAAAGTAAAGTCGACCAACTGCTTTTACTATACTCTACAACATTTTTTGTTACCTTTTTTTTTTTCGTTTTTTCTCTCTCCCTCTCTCTCTCAC